TGATGGGATGGTTCGTGCTAGCCGTCCTGCAGAATGCTGTGCTGGCGCAGCTCTCCTTGGGCATCCTTGTGAACATCCACATCATCCTCACCGTAGCTGTCCTATCTGCCGAGGTGGGGGCAGGTAAAGAAAAAAAGAAGAAAAGAAAAAGAGAAAAAAAGAAACAAAGAAAAAAGAGAAAAAAAGAAAAAAAGAAAAAAGATACGTTGATCTGTGGGATGTGTTATTTGCTTTGTGATAATTGGATCATCTTTCTTTCCCTGTCAGGTTTGGTTTCCTCCTCCCTTTCCTTACCTCTTTGCCTTTTGGCTGCGTGCAAGTGGGCCCTTGTGACACACGGGGATGGGGGCAGCCAGCGCTCAACCTGTCATCCACGTGGCTGGCCTTGTATGTAAGAGGTGATGAACAGGTGGGGCTTTCCTTCTTTTCCTTTCCTTGTTTTGCCTTTTCCCGCCTTTGCGCTCCGATTCACAGTGTGACAATACGTAAGAGGTTATGAACAGGTGGAGCTTTCCTTACCTCTTCCCCTTCCCCTTTTTTCCTTTTCCCTTTTTCTTTCCCCTTTTGTGCGCTCTGATTCCCAATGTGACAATATATACCGTCACACGTGGGCGGCCTTGTACGCAAGAGGTTCTGAACAGGGGGAGTTGAAAAGAAGAAGATAAAAAAATGAATTCATTTTTTCTTGGTTTTCTTCGCTTTGGCGCTCTGAGATCTTGTGACAATATATATATCGTCGCACCGTGTATCGGCGCGCAAAGGCGAAAAAAGACAAAGGAAATGTGTATTTACTTTTATATATGTATATTTATGTATGTATATGTATATTAGCAAAAGCTGTGAGGGAGATGGCAAAAGGGTGGGTGGGTAAGGGATTGGACGACACTCTGCGAGGAGAGGTGGATGCAGAGGGAGAGGGAGGTGCTTTCGTGGGCGAAACCTTGCCTGATATCGAACGATTCGGTTAGTGCAGGAACTGCAGCGCGCAGTGGTAGTCGGTTAAGAAGGAGAATAACAGAGTAAAAAAGAAAAGAAAAAAAAAAGAGGTGTGGAGCTAAAGGAAGGGAGGAGGTGAGAGAGTGGTTGGTCTGGAGGAGTTTGCAGATGCAATCTGTTTGGTGAAGTGGAGGGCGGAGTTCAGTGGTAGAAAGGTTGGGTGGGGGGTGAAGCATGAAGAGGAGGGGGGGGGGAGGAGGGAATAGTGTGGGAGGAGAGGGCGAGATGATGATGAGGCGTGAAAGTAACGCGATATATTTTGCACTGCGTGCGGAGCACGATTTACAGCGCGAGATTTGCGGCGCGAGGTTTGAGGGAGATTTGCAGAGCGCACGATTTGCAGCGGGAAACTGGCAGCGCGAGATTTGTGGCGGGAGATTTGTCGCGCGCGATTTG